TAAATCTTTGTCTTTTCACTTTATTCATTCATTCAATAATTCATTTATTGCAGCAAAAATCGTTGTACATGTATTGTGACATTGTGGAGTTTTTTCAGTGCGGGATCATTTTTGGGATTTTTTCTGAGACAAAAAAGGAGTGACTCTATAATACCTCATCACTTTCTGGCTAAATAGAAAATTGCATACCGGCTCTTTTAAGAACGACACAAAATTCATGTTATGACGGGGTATTCTAAAGTTTAACCCCCCAAAAAGGAAGCACAAATTAAAATCCCATCGGTCGAGCTTCAAAATAATATTTGAGATCGCGTTTAATCGTTTAATCAATCTGCTAATCTCACTGTATTGTACTGATTCCAGAGAACCCAGTATCAGATGAAGACGACTATCGTATAGAAGTATTGATYACTTTACGAAGACTCGAGAGACTCGACAAAGATGAATACACAGATGACGAGAGACAAGAAGCAGAGGAGGTTGGTTTGTTGTTGTATTTTACTTGGGGAGACTTCATTGTTGCCACGCCCATTAAATCAGGACAAGGGAAATGGCGGCTATCATTCGGATGCAAGATTACATACGTTTTGACAATAATGATTTTTTTTTAGATTTACGAGCAAAGACGACAAGAAGAAGCTGCTGCGGTGAGTACATAGTTCGTTAACAAAGAAATTTTTATCGCACTTGTGTAAATTCTCGCGCGCTGATTGGCTGATTAAAGTGTGTCAATAAGAGGAGATGTACACTGTGCTAACACCAGCACGTCTCGCGCTCGCGCTCAATTGAAAGAAAAGAAAAAGGAATGACTTTCGCTAATTTTTAGACTAAAAATGTTGTAAAAAACAAATTGCACACCGCTCCTGGATCCACTTGAGTTTTGATTATTTTATGACGTCAAGAGTGTGTCAAATAAGAGGACATGCAACTCAAAACCTTGCGCAATTTTTTAACTTTTAAGACAAAAAGATCACCATAAATCTCTTCAATAGTTTAGAAAATGGCAAGTAATAGATGATGCGGGTCACCAGTAACTGATAAATACATTTAAAGTCTATATTTAAGTCTCCATCGCCCTATAACCAGAAAATGTATCCTTCTAATGGACAGACTCAGACCCAAACACTCTACCTCAACATTGGCTGTTTTAGCATACGTCACAGGGATGGATCCAGGATTTTCCTCAGGGAGGGGTGCAGGGCTCTCAGGAGGGGTTGCACCCAACAAAATCATTACCATGAAGATAGATACAAAATAAGGAAAGTATCGAAGGATACAGATCTCAGGAGGGGGTGCGCACCCCCCTGCACTCACCAGCTGGATACGCCCCTGTGTCACTCCTTACAGCTAGTTTTTGACGAAGGGAGGTAAAACAGCCCTTGAGGCAAGGAAGAGACTAGGATATGCTAGGACTACAGCGGTGATTGACAGGCGTTGACTTGCTACAATCTTTCCTCTGTTTGTGTTCTTCATCTTTTGCTTCGGTTTTTGTCACACTTTGGTCCTTACTGACCTTATTTTTTATTTACAGCAAGGAACACAAGAAATCATTCAGACTGACGAGGATGACTGACCGGGTTACCTGTCTAGTTATAATCCGCGCTACGGTGCACTGGTTTAGTCCTGGTTTGAGATGATAGTACGACACTATCTGTCCCTTTATATCAATTATTGTAAATAGATTCCATTGTATTAAATCTTTGATTGATCATATGTTGTCATTTGGTGGGAACTTTCGTTAAATTGAACAATTTTTCAGTTAACTTGACAGGCCGTACTGATCTCATTTCAGCAGACCAAATTACTGAAAAATACTCCGATTTCGAGTTCTGGTTTGCTTTGTGTTAGCCTCAAAACCACATTTCAAAAACACATTCTTTTGTTTCATTGATAGCTCGAGAAAACGCAAGGAATTTGAAAAGACAATAAAATTGATTTAAAATCTCACACTTTTATTCTCACAATTAGGAATATTTTGCGCACAAATAAGGCTAACACAGAGCATTGGAGAATTCGAAACTGGATTATTGCACAGTGTGGACGACTTGTCTGGTCTCTTTCTCAATGTAAACCACACCAGGAGCCCATTACTACCTAGTAATGGGCTCCTGACCACACTGGATTAAAAGGAGAACATAGTTTACTTACTTACTTATCCTGACCCTAGCACTGGGAAATAAGGCCAAACAGAGTTATTAGACAGTGTTGTACTCCGTCAGAAAGAGCCATGTCCCTTTGTGTTGCACGAAGCAGAATACACATGGACCGCGGATCAGGGGGTTTGCTACAGATCCCCCCCCCCCCCCCCCTCAATACTTTTTCCGACATTTTGAATTTTCTCAAATAAAGAAGCAAAGAGCCTACTTATGAAATTTCACCATATATATTCTATAAAAATTGTGTAAAAACAGCGTGAACAATCAAAATTGAAGCCGCTTTTGCGAAGTCTTTGGGATTTATTGATAATATGACCGTGTGTGCGGTAAAAATGTCTTCGCATAACGCCTCAAAACGCTGGAAATGACATTTCCGAGAGTTAAGATTTCAAAAATTTCACATTTGACAATCTCAATGGCAAGTGTGGCACGTTTTAAAGGTCAAAAAAGGCTTATATAGCGTTTTCATGGCCTGAAAAACGACGATTTATATATTTTCCTGGCAAAAAAGGTTTAGAAAGTACTCCTTGCTCAATAATTACAAAAAACATGTATTTTTGACACTAGCTTTATGTTTAAAAATGTTCTAACAAAAATATTTGACATTCATTTTTGGGGGGGTCTCAATTACCATCGTTTTTTAAATAAAGCTGGTGTCAAAAATTAATACATGTTTTTTTTTTTAAATATTATGAATCCTCCTAGCTGCAAATGTAAGAGTACAGAGATTCCTTACCTGAAGAATTCTTTTTTCCTGAATTTCTCGCTGGCAACCGGGTGCATGACTTACAGCTGGCTG